TCGAAATCCACGGTGGTAAAAAATAACATTTCAGATCTAACGTTTTTTTTCCACAACTTATTGTCCAGAAGACCTTATGTACAAAGCCGGTACTCATTACTGGGGTTGAACAATGAAGGACATAAGGTTATCTGTAACGCTATTTATACGTGCATAATAAGTGATTTAAACTCCCAAAGCTGGTGAAGCATTGGAAACCATCAGCTTAGAATGCGTGATAAAAAATATCGTAAAATGTAGCTGTTTTGTTTTTCACAGTTCAGCCCAATTAGGAGTTCTGGTAGTATAAAAGGTCTCTAGGACAGTGATTTGTGTTAACAAAGGTAGATCTGAAATGTTAGTTTTACACGTTTCTGACTTGAAATACGAAATGGACAAAGTAAGAGGTATGTGGAAAAAAACATGGGTTAAACGGCTAAGCAATAGCCATCCTTCAGTTAAAACTACTGACCATAGATATGGCAACTTGTCAATGGTGCCAGACACTATTACAACTACAGCTTCACCATACGTGAAAAGGCCGAACACGTTCAGTGCCATATAGCGATTCGAACCATGAACCACTCAACCTGCAATCCTGTACGTTAAGAAAGATGTCACATCTGGTCTATATTTTTCAACCGTACAACGGTTCGACAATCTACAAACAGTTTTTATCATGACTGAATGCTTTAACTAACTTTCTATGCAAGGGTAAATAATACACATAAAAAACGAGTTATGTTAAAGTTAGTGAGGGAGTGCTTAGAACGAATTACTAAGTTAGCAAATTTGTTAATCAGTTAATGAGTAATCTGTTAATTATGTTGTTTGTTCCTGCCATCAGTTTTCAGTTATTTTACTACAGTGCTGTATTTATTGAATTTGTTTTCCGAAGAAGAAATGTAGATACAAAATTAGCAAGTAAGTGGAATTTTTGTTAGTTTTAAACGTAGCCCATTTCTAAAGTTAGGACTAGACTATTATATAGAAATATAACTTTTTTATTATAGTTCAATGGACTAAACTTCAAATTATTATTTTTACACAATAATCAAAAAGAATCCAGAGAGCAATATAAACGATTACAAACATTAATGTCAGGAGTGGTATTATTTTGGTAGAATAAATTATAATCTAAACTCGATTTCAAAATGACGATGCCCGCTCGGAGCTAGTTTTAAAATTTAATTAAAATAATGAAACAATGGGAAAAAATCAAGAAGTTGCAGAAAATTAAGAGAATATTAGAAAAAAAGAGGGAGGAATTTAAGAGAATAAGTACAAGAAAGAGACATGAAATTTACAGCAGAATTACGAATAATGATTTATTTGATCAAAGACAAGATACAAGAAGGTAAAGAAAATATGCAAAAAAAGTATAACAACAAAATTGAAAATGTGCAAAAGGACTTCAACAAGTGCAAAGAGATATCAACAAAATAGAAAACTGAGGTACAAAAGGTCATTAATGAAATACAGAAACATTATAACACCAAGATCGAAGAAGTCATAAGATGCGTACAAAAATGCAGATAGAATATCTAGAAAGTGTTCCTCATTCTGCACATGCCCAATAATGTTAACCTAAAGTACCATTAACTGTGCAGTATAGAATAGGAGAACCAACCTATTACCATTAATGTTGTACTGTCTGTAATTGCAGAACATTTCTAGAGCATTCCAATTATACCACTACCTCATCAAGTTTAGAGTACAACAAGCCAGTTCAACAACATCGCTCAATCGATAAAACAACAGACTATGATGGAAAGGTATCAAACGCAGCAGACATAGCAAGCACAGTTTGAAAAATTTTCAAAAATTGAACATATTAAGTAGTAAACTCCAAATATAAAATCAACAAAAGAAGAGCATTCTGGCCACAAATATTGTGAACATTGAAAACATCTGTCTACCAAATACCATTTCCTTATGATATAAAAAATTTTCCCCTTTTATATTTAAATTAAATGGTACCACAGCTGGATCTGTGTGACTTTTCATAAATCAAAGTAGATGTATATCTTTTAGGGAACTATTGAACTGGTATTGAAACTAAAATCCAAGTCGGAGATAAAAAACTAAAACAACATCCACGAATTATGGAATAGTCAAATCATAGAGTGTAGAAACATCAGTTCCCTCCTATGCAGGCCTAGAAGAGGCCTGTTAACTCAAAGGGGAAGAAGTAAACCATAGAACAGAAGGGATTTTAATTTCAACTTAAAAGGACATATCCTCAGGAACTGCAGAAAAAAAAAACATTTTGGAATACAAACTACTCCTGAAGAATGGCAGAAACAGAAAATTACAAAAAGTGTGAAAAATACAGGGATTCATTCATTGAGAATAAAACCTAGAAAATATTCTGACGAGAATATTCGTTTTGCCACATTTGACACGAGGAGTGCATTATTTGAAGAAACCAGATTCATTGATGAGAAACCTTATAATATGTTGATTGACACTGGTTCTACAACGACAATTGTTTGACTTGATCTGGTAATGAAAGCTGGAAAATTGCTTCTGTAGATGAAGCAAGAGGATAGATTGATGCGAACAGCAAATGGTCATAAAGTTCTAGCAAATGGAAGGTTAGTAGTTACTCTCATTATGAGAAACTTCTCTAGACAACATGACATGCAGGTAATTAACATTGAGGAAAAATACATGTTAGAAATATAATTCATGGAAACACATCAAAAGTTAAACTCTTCAAATAGTTTCATAGGCTGTGACTAAACAATTCACGTACACTACTCAATGATTACAACATTAAAGGTTGAACTTCCATTGGGAACAAGAATGCAACACAAACTAGTAAAGACAATCAACTTAACCTGTTACAGAGCAGAATCCAGAAAGATGGATAGTCCAAGCCAAAGACCATCCACCGTGGTTGTCTTAGAAAGTACATTAGCGTGAGACCAGTTAATTGGTTAGTTTCAGATAAAACTTCACCACAGGTAAATCAATCTGTTCAATAAACCAAGGTTTTGGTTCAGATCACCTCAAACGTATCACTTACGATGGAAGCACCACCTTGATGATGACAAGTTATGATAAAGAACGAAAGGTCATCCTATCTGTGTATAATAAGCAAGGGGGAAAAAAAAACACCAAAAATATTTGATGACTAGACAGTTTTAAGGACAACAAGTAAACAAGAAAAAAAAAATTCTAAAACAAAATTATGATTACACTTAACGTTTTACATATTTCAGTAACGATTAATGGTTGCAATATTTAAATTTGTGAATATTTGTTTGTTAATTAATTGTCAATAGTTATTTTATTGCTAATTAAGGAACTTTAAGGTATCATTATTTGGTTATGTAATAAGATTGTACAAGGGACTTCACACACCTGTGAGGGGGTAGTATTGTAGCTTATGTTTTTAATTTAGACATTTCTAGAAATTTGTACTGTTGTTAGACAGAAGGAAGTTTAACGAAACGTGACGGATACAGCCTTATTGTCTGGAACTTTCTCTAAAGTTAATGAAATAATTTGAACTACATATGAAAAACGAGTTAGGCTAGCGCTAGCGAGTTAGTTATTAAGTTAACGAGTTTGTTAACCAGTTAATGACTAATCAATGCGTGATTCAGTCAGCCAGTAGTCAGATAATTAACTGTGTTGTTAATACTGAATTTGTGTTTTGAAGAAGAAACAGAGGTACAAAATTAACAAGTAAGTGGGATTTTTATTAGTGTTAGACGTAGTTTATTTGTGAATTTAGGTTTACAGAAGATTATTGGTTACATTAAACTTTTTTCGTTATCGGCAAGTGGACTGGACTTTGCATCATTATTTTTACCGAATAATCCAAAAGAACCCGACGAACAATAGAAAATTTAAGAACGCCACCATAAGGGAGGGGCAAGTTTTCCCTCTTTTTACAGCGGTGAAAGATACGTGTTATCTCAGGGAGCATCTCTTCTATATAAGAAAACAATCCAATGTCTTCCTCTTTCATTAAGGAGAAAATATACAAAATTTACGTAATGAATGGGGTGGGGTGGGGGCGTGATATGAGTTTGCTCCAGACTCTGCAATACGTTGTGATACCCCTGCAAACCATCACAGTAAGTGAAACTTTTTTTTTTAAATTATTGTAGTTTATTTTCCCATTAAAGGACATATTACTTAAACTACAAAAAGCTAAATAAAAATATTCAAAATATCAATGCTGGAAACGGAACAGTTGAAACTTTTTATTCATTATAACATCGAAACATCCTTTCTCCTTACTCACATGTGTATATTTGAAGAAACGAAATCATTTTATAGACGGAGTTTTAACTCCTTTTATTGTATGTTTTAACTGGGTATTAATAATAAGTTGGATTGAACTGTTGAAAATATGTAGTGCAACATTAAGTATTTCGAACCGTTTAACTTCAAAAGTCTTCTGGTTGGTCAACGGCAAGTTTCCGGACTTACAATGCAAAAATCTGGGGTTCAGATACTCGCGGTCAACAGAGTTGCAGTGAGCCCATTGTTCAACTTTGCGCAAAAAAAAAAAAAAGAGAAAAAAAACAGCTTTAAAAAATATGATTTTAATATGATTTGTACAAAAGTAAATGTCAATTAGCACAAAATGACCCTTGTATTATAATAATAAACCTATAAATCAAGACTTTGAACTTAAGAAAGGTTCTTATGAAGTAAAAATGCAAAAAAAACAAACAAACTATTTGGTGATCCAAAATAAATAATAGGTAGAGGAAAAGAAATTCCAGTAATTTCTAGAACATTGTCAGTTGTTCATTTAATATCTTGAATGCCTTATAAAACAACTACGTACTGGAAACGGAGAAGAAGAAGAAAATAAATCCAATTGATACTCTCGTTCTTTGTGTGGGTTGATGACGAAGTCGAAGTTCGCGGCAAAGTGTTGATTTTCCGGAACATAAATGATTGACTAGCCAATCAACGATCTCGTGACGAGGGAAGCCATTACTGACGTTCTAGCCAATCATAGGCTCGTTTTCCAAAGTCACGTGGCAACGCCTCCGTCACACATGGACGTGTGAGCGGGGGCTTCCGTGGTTCCTTGTTTCGCTGGAAAATGAGAAATATATGAGGACAGAAGTTAGAAGATATTTGATCATAGTGAAGTAGATTGTTTTGAGAGAAGGATGATGGCCCAACAGTTAATTTTACACAGTCCTGCTGGCTCAGAGCCGGCTATATACCAGTGGCCTTTGTCATCGTCAGTAAGTATCTTCTTAACCAAACAGTTTATTATGGCTCTTTTATACGCGTGCTCTCTTACCAAGAGTCTTGGCGTTAGGCATAGTTTCAAGCTCGGGGAAATGTTCTTGTTCGTCTGTGTGTGAAGTTGTTAAGCCCTATCCGTGGAACTACTTAAGTTTAGTTATTTTATAAATTTTAGTCTTTTCGCTGTTTTAAATCCATAAAATTCGTGTATCCTTGTAATATTCGAATTTCTTTATCTTTCAGGACAAGAATGATGGAGCTGTTGAGATTGTAGAAACTATTAGGTGAGTAATTAAGTTGTTATCCCATTATATAATTGATTATGTTTATTTGAAGAACACATCCGTTCCAGATATGACGCCACCAATCAAACCCGAATAATATAGGCCTCGAACCTCGATGATACAACAAACTCTGAGAGCTTTATTTGTCGCGTATGTCCATTGTAAATCATTATATATCATGAGATCAAAACCATGCCAGTTTTTACCTGATCATGCTACTGAAATACGACAAAAGATGTTATAGAATCATTTATTAAAACTTAATTTTTTTTACATGGTCATAAAAAATAATGTTTCCTGGATTATTTGTTTTCCAAATGAAAAAATATTTATATTTTTATTATCAAATGCAAAATGATCTCTAAGTCTAAGTATATACAACACTGATTAAAAAAAATTATAATCACCCTAGTTATACCCAAAACTCAATCAAAAGTTTATATCATTGATCCATTCTAATTTTGACAGGTAGTTTCGTTTTTAAAAATGGTTATCTTCCTTCCCATTTTTAAGTTAGAATGGATAAATGATATAAATAAACTTTTGATTGAGTTTTGGGTGTAACTAGAGTGATTATTAAAATATCTGTTATCAGTGATGTATATATATTTTGTACAAATAATCTTTTTAATCATGTTGTGTGATTATACCTAATTTAAAGTGTAGAAGTCGGGAAATTTGTGAATTGTTTGAATAACTGTTATCTGATTATGACAAAATTGTCTAGATACTACATGTAATAAATTACACACTTTATTCTTTATTTACAAGCTTATCTGTTATCGCTAGTTCAAAATAGAATTCTTATCTCCCAGTTAGAAGTGTTTTAGAAAAATTCACCAGTCTTTGTTAATATTTTTATTTTTTTACATTTATATAAATAAAGGTAAAAATAAAGTATATATAAAGTTCAAATAGTGTATTTGATTTTGGGCTAGTTTCAAGACTCATTGCTAAGATATTAAACTTGCAGATACTTAACAAATCAGTCATACTACCATTTCGAAATCATAATAAGTTGACTCAAATTATGATAAGCTTTGTATTTATAAAAATGAATATTATGTCTCTGTGATTGAATTTATGAGATTGCTGAAATGCTAATGTACGGGATTGAAATCTTCTAGTTTTAAGAAAATTGTTAAATCAGTTTCATTAGCGTTGGTTGTGTTTGTTGTTGTATATTATTAAAGATGTTCTTAAGTGGTTAATACATAAGGCAAGCTAGAGTTGTGAGAAAATGTGAATAGGTCATATCTATTTAGAGTTTAAATTAGTGTTATGTTTGACAGTAATGAGTCATAGGTGAAAGGGGAGGATTGGTTCTACCCCATCTAATTTGGCCTAGTACATATAATTTGTTAACATATACGGAAACATGTTAAGGGAATATAGGTGTTTGTGGTTAAACCCTAATTTATGAATTAATGCATGCATTATACATTCATATTAAAGTCACCAGACATCATATATAAAGCTGTAATTGAAGTTGTTTTTTTTCCAGTTTCATAGTGTGTGATGTAAAGGGGGTGGGGGAGTTTGTATAAATTTTATTATCAAACAGTAGATTATTCACCAATCAAGTCACGCGGCAAAAACTAGGTTAATTCAACTGATCCAAGGCCATGTTAGTGTATACAATCCATTTGACGCATAGTATACATTCTGTACGACTTTCTGGGAAATCCCGTAAATGGATATCCCCAGGGAAAATAATTTTTAAAAGGCTTAGTAATCAGGATGATGTTCATTATAGTTAAAATGACGTGAATAGAGTATGTGCGCGCGCGTGCATATAAAATAGTGTAGGTGGGTGTTGAAAGAAAATGATGATCTTGTACCACTATCTTTTCGATGCTTGCTGGTGACTCAACCCTTTAGGTTAGACTAGCGTAAGCTGCCATCCTTAGGGGGGCGTGGCGGCGTGTGCCTCTAAGAGTGGATGTCATTGTTACGCCAGTAGTGACGTTCTCTGTTTGAGGCGTGACGGATCTCGTTTGAAAACTGAGGCATCATGTGTTGGAACAAATTTAGAAACACGCAACAGTAACCACTTGAGTAAGTTTGTAGAAGTATCTGTCTGAATTTTAAATGTTTTGAAGCTAGATAAATGTAGATAATACGATCAATAGAGTATACCTTTATAACATTATTTGAGAAGAAATAAATGTAAAAAGAAAATATAGATACTACGGCAAAGATAATTTATAGTGTATTTGATTAATTCCATTTCACTTTATTGTTAATTACGAAGTTTAGAACGTTTATGACCAAGAATTCACATTTGAAGAATGCAGCTTGAAAATGGGGGTATTTCTCATAGTTGCCAGTTTTTGTGTCAAGGTTGTATAAAAATACAAGTCCTCGTTTGTAAAAATGAATACACCTTTTTTTACTAAAGGTCAGAAAATGTGTTAAAATCGCATACAACTGTCGACTGCACCATTTCATCACAATCTTTGGTGTTCTTAACCAACAACTACTGAATGGTTTATGTTTTAGATGTTGTCTGACTTTTTGGACTAAGTTTTTTAATACTTTGTTTTAGGTGTTGAAGTCACAGTACCATAACTTGATCGCTATGGCTTTTCATTCCATTTCATTAGCTTTTAAGGTTGTTTATTTAGATATCCAGCTGCGACGGTAACAGATTTTGTATTAAGACTTTGTTACCAAAGTAAATAAAAAAATTAAGTTTTATTTTAAGTCACTTACTTATAAAGCATGAAATTGTCCTTGGAAATATATTTCAAAAATCTCTAGACTTCTCATTAGGTTTTTTTTAGCAGTTGTTTTCAAGTTTTGTTCTTGAGTCATAAATTATATTCATAAATTATATCGTTAGAAAATAGGTTTATACATTTGGCTTTTTACATATTGTTAAATAAAGAGTGACGTTCGATATCTGATTGGCCAACTGAAACTTTTACAAATTATACATAAAATTCGTAAAGTTTGAAATATTAAAACTTTTATCTGGTATCTGTACTCGTTGTACGCGATTTTCATTTTGGTAATAATAAAAAAATTTTTCATAAACATTGGTGATATAAATAGCGCTTAGACCACTACTATGTTGTTTTCCAGCCGGCTTGATGCGACCTGGAATTGAGCGAAAGGCCTCGTCAGTACTGGATATGGCAGATGTACTGTGGTTGATATATTATAACACATTATTCTTTACTTTCTCTCATAAGTTCTTTGAATCGTATCATAACTAATTGCTTGGGTCTAATACGTACTTGATAATATATTGTGTAGAGTTGAGGTTCGTTAGGGAGTCGGAGTTTATCATCTCAACATTTACTGCTATAAAGAAAGACAATTACAGACTTCGGAAAAATATAATGAATCCGATTTTGGGTCCATTAATAATGACACACACACACTTAAAAAATGTTACTCGAAGTATACCGCCAGAAATGTTGCTAGGGGTCTGGAAATGTTTACTATGCAGGTGATCAACATCAATCCTTAAGTTTTGTTCATTATGTAGACCACGTGACCAGACGCTGCGGCGCCGTTCTGTTGCACCGCTGATAATGGCTGGCGTACATTGCTAGCTTTACTATGTTGATATATATGTATATATATATATATATATATATATATATATATATATATATATATATATAGTACTATACTACACTACTCTACTCTCTCTACTATAACTACGTACGTTACGTGTACTAGTTGTTGGTACGTTAGTTAATTTTTATTTATTTAGTT